ATATTTTACTTGTGATTTATTTTCTGGATCAATCTATTTTGACTTTTCACCTGTAACACCTACCTACCATTTTTCAACTTCCACGATCCAAAAATTCTAATTTGCAAAATGCCATGAATCCTCTTCCTAGATTCTATGTCATTCTACCATGGCATCAAAAAGATTCCTTTCTGAAACAGTCAGTGTTCTGGATAGCTTTAGTGTCAACTTCACACACCTGGGTTGAGGGAGCCTCAACTGGGGAATTTCCTCCATAGGACTGGCCTGTGGCCATGTCTGTGGGGCAGCTTCTTGATTGTTGAGTGATGTGAGAGGGTCCAGCTCACTGTGGGTGGTGCCACCCCTGGGCAGGTGGACCTGTGTTGCATAAGAAAGCAAGCTGAGCAGGGGCCAGGGAAGCAAGCCAGTAAGCAGTGTTCCTCCATGGCCTGTGCTCCAGCTCCTGCCTCCAGGTTCTTGCCCTGAGTTCCTACCTTGGGCTCCCTGATGAACTGCAACCTGGGAGATGTAAGCTGAATAAACCCTTTCCTCCCCACGTTGGTATTGGTCAGAATATTTTGTCACAGCAATGGAGAGACAAACTAGAACAAAAAGGATTTATTTCCTCACTCTCTTCCTCTCTCTCTTTCCCCCTCTCTCTTCCCTTCCCTCCTTCCCTTCACTCCCTCCTTCTCTCCATCACCTTCTCATAAGAGGTATGATAATTTTAGGATAAAGACAATAATCCATTCAGTCTGCATTTCACTTTCCTGATTAATCTTTGGCCACACTTTGGTGCCATTATTCCCTCATTACCTGTGTTTGAATGAGATTGCCTCTTTCCGGTTGTTTCCAAAAAGCACATGATCACTACAACCACTTGACCTCTTTGCACAGGCTATGTCCTTTGCTTTGAACCCACCTCATGGTTAATTCTTTGCCTCATTCACTCTTACTACCCATAGTTTCTAATTCTATGATTCTTTCTTTAAAAAGCTTTAAACCATCATAAGTCCTTTTTGTTTTGTGTTATGATTGTATTTTAAACAATTCTTTCATGGTAGTCATGTGTTAGAGCTATAAACTTGGTTATACAAACTCACACGTATATATAATGTCTCTTTCTTGGCTACATACTACCTTTGCAGGACAGGGATTATATGTGATTTTATTTACCTTTGTTTCCATCAGGTCTGCCAGTGTGCTTGGCATATTAAAAAAAAAAAAAAACTATTAACTAGTAAAGGAGTCAAGGAAGAAGGGAAAAGTAAGTCTACATATTCTTTCAGTCTTTGTCCTATTCATTTTTCCTCTTCCATTTACAGAAATCAGTCACCACACAATCAACTCTGTCAAGACTTTAACCAGCATAAATATGTGAACTCGTAGCCCTGGCTGCAATATAGTATTTTAAATAAAATATTTGACACATACAAAATAAGAAAGCCCTTGAACATGATTTAATGCATAATTTCAGCTTTCAGGGGATTTATAATAAGCTATTCTAAGTAATTACCTACAATCTTTTCATACTTTTACAACTTCAAGTCACAGAAACAAAAGAAACAGAGAGACCTTACAATGGGCCCCTTCATAAAACCTCTGGCAGAATTTCCCATAAATTCTTTTGGAAAGTATGCCTATTATTTTTTTTAATCTTTAAAAGAAATTCTATAGCTTCAATTAATGGCCCATCCATGCAGTATAATTTTTCCTTAAAAACATTCATTAGGCAGCTATTGTGAATAACAGTAAGTGACTCAAGCAGACAGTTTGTCCACTTGAAAACTTTAGGTATAAGAGAAGCAAAAATTGAAAAGGTCCAAAAATCAAAGAAGAAGTACAAAAAACTGAACAAAACATAACGAAAGATATAAAATATATTCAGTAAATCAATTGTTAAGTGAGTAAGAAAGTCAGCCCCATTGTTCATACCCAGACAGGATCACAATGCATTCCCCTGTCCATGTGTGAAGGATGTAGAGGGTGAGCAGAATAGGGATGGGACTATTCTGAGGACAGAGTGAGGCAGTGTGGAGGCTGGAAAGCCACATGACAGGGAGGGTTAAATGCACCAGTGTCTGAGAGAATATGGTAGGAATGGGGAGCTTAGGAGCAAGAAAGAAGTAAGAAACACTGCGACAAAGCACAATTACATAAAAAGAAGCTGGTAAGCAATGAGGGGATAATCTCTGATTCCGACTCAATTTAGGGTTCCTAGACCTAGAGCCACAAAGCCCAACAGAGAAAGCAGGAATCACAGTACCACAGAGCTAAGCTGTAAATCAGGCTCCTCTAGATTTATGCTACGCCAGTCTCCTCAGTACTGTTTACTGCATCCATTTTAACTGTGTGAGTTCACCTATCGCCAGGCAATGGACAGTCTGTGAAATCTAAACCCCTGATCATCTCCTGATTCTGTTCCTCACCTCTAACCACCTGGAATGTTTCTACGTCACTTAAACTAAGGATACCTAGCACCAAGCTGGTAGGTGCTTGATATCCTGGTACCTTTCCAATGAAGGCATTTCTCTACAACGTTTCTTAATTTCAGTACTACTCCCCTCTTCATTGCTCCAGTGTAAGAGTTTTGCTTCCCACATGTGAACAGTCAGATATTCTTATGAATGATCATGTCTATATTCTTCTCCCACAAAAACCTTCACTTGTAAGTTCACATTCCAGCTCAGGACCTTCTTCAGTTATTGTCTAGGCAACTATAACATTTTTCATCCATACGGCTTACATCAAACCAAGGTAGGAGTATCAAACAGGACTTTAGCTTGTGCCTCTGAAATGCCTTTAAGGACTTCTCAGTAATACTTGGTATGATGTGGGGACTGCTAAGAGTCCAGGGGAGACTTTTAGAGAAACTCTCACAGTAATAAAAAGATGTTTGTCTGTTCACTCTTGTGTGAGTGTATGATCAAATTTCCAGAGTCTATGTGTCTGATTATACTGCAATAGATCAAATACAGATGCAGACATAAGAAACAGAAAGACAAATACCCCCTGATTCCTTTTATATAGGCCGAGAATCCTTTATCTGAAATGTAAAGACCAAAAGTGTTTCAGATTTCAGAGTTTTTCAGGTTTTGGACTATTTACATATATATATATATAAAATGTACTAAGAATGAGACATGAATATAAACACAAAATTCACAGTTCATCTTATACAAACTGCCTGAAGGTAACCCTATGCAATAGCTTTCACTAATTTTGAGCTTAAAACGAAGTGTTACGTCTATAATTTTTCACTTATGATATCACTTCAGATTTGAAAGTTTTGCAAAGGTGCATAAGAATCTTAAAAATCTGAACTCTTAGAAAAGAAAACTACAACAGAGCCAAGGAAATAGCTCAGTCAGTAAAAAAAAAATATCTGCAGCGTAACACGAGTTTAATCCCCAGAGCCCACCCACAAGAAAAGCAAACCCTGTTTGCTTGCATCTGTAATACAGGTACTCCTACAGTGAGGCAGAGATAAAGTCATCCTCTGTCTCCCTTACCTGTACTGTGATGTACAAAGACATACACACACAGACACACAGACACACACACACAGACACACACACACACACAGACACACACACACAGGAATCTTAAAAAAAGAAACCATGGAGGTGGTTTTCAGGGGCCTACAGAGCAGGGAATGGAAGGATATTGGTTAAAGCATAAAAGCCTTTGGCTATGGATAGTCCTGGAGAACCCATTGTACAGTGTGGTAACTGTACAATTAATAATGCATTATTCTGGTGGTTTGAATGAGAATGCCCCTCCCCCTGCTCTCCTGCAGGCTCCAATTATTTGAACACTTGGTTTCCAGTTGGTGATGGCGTGATGATGCTGTTGGGGAGAGTCATGGAACCGTTAGGAGGTGTGGCCATGCTGAAAGATGCATGGCACTGGCACTGAGTTCAATCTCTGGGACCACGATCTACATGGTGGAAAGAGAAAATCAACTCTCACCATTTGCTGGTTGTCCCTCTGACTTCCACAGGTAGGCTGTGGTACACACACACACACACACACACACACACACACACACACACACACAAACTGAATAAACAAATGTAAAAAATAAATTTTAAAGCAGGACTATGATTCAGCCAGACTGGCCTATGGCCGGCATTAGGTTTGGCTTTCTGCTTCCTCTGAGCATCTCAACAAGAACTGTGAAGACTCACTAAGTATGTGCCCTCTGGACACAGCTCGTATCCACATGTGCAGCATCCTAACCAGCTTACCACACACACACACACTAGCCTCAGTTTCCTCTGTCACTGGCTCACACAGCAACTCCCTGCCAACCCTGGAAGAATCTTTCAGCATCCAGATGGCAGATATAATATGGGTTCTCAGTAGCAGACCTCATACAGTGTTTTAAAATACTGCTTATGTTCACGTGTGTGGACTAAAGTACAGAGAGCCATTTCAAATAAAGAAGGAAGGGAGAGTGAAGGTCAGCACAACTCTAGCAATCAATTTCTGCCTTTAAAGGAAAACAATAAATGTATTTGTTATACCCTTACACCTACTTTTACATTTTAAAAATATGTATGTAATAACAATCTTCAATTTCTCTAGAAAAAAAAGAGACCAAACACAGATAAATACACTATTTTTTACTTCATTACTATTTCCTCCCCATATTTCAGTCACTCCTATTCAAACACAAAAGTACCCATTTTGAAAGTATCAATCCTTTTGAAATTCTAAGACTTCTAGGTGGATTACTGTAAAGATCTGATTTTATACTCCTATTGAAATATTCAGTCTTGCCAACTTTGTTGGTGCACACCTTTAATCCCAGCACTTGGGAGGGAGAGGTAGGTTGATCTCTGTAAGTTCCAGGTCAGTCAATGTCTACATAGTAAAACAATGTTTTGAAAACAAAAACAAAAACAAAAAAACAAACCTAGGCCTCTGACAATATTTCATTGTATCTAGATTCAGTAAGACTGACATCTGTCTGGTTTTCTACACACATTAAAACTGGCTAGCAGTTGTGTCCTTACCTATTCCAGAAGCTGGTGTAAAGTAATGTATTCTGTTAACAGTAGCAAAATCCAGGGACTGAAAATACCTGAAAGAAGACTGTCCCATCTCCCAGATGAAAATAACGATTGTATTCTGATCTCCTATAATTAACAAATAAAAATCAAATCTTAAGGCAAGAAGCTATACCAAAAAAATGACAAAATTTCACAGTCTAATTATAATAAAATATTAAATTTGATTTAAAAAACAAATTTCTACAGAATACATCTAGTTGAGCAAAAGCCCAACTTGGCAGGGAACACTGAAAAATCACTTTGTATTCATCACACGAAGCACATGCCTGGCTCACCACTTACCAGGAGAAAGGACAAGAAGCAAATTTTCATTTTTTAGGTGTCAAAATTGTATCCTTGAATATGGCAATAAACAGAAGAAAGCATGTTCTTGTGCTGCTTTTGAATCAGTTTTAGCAAAAGTTACAAGACACAATTCATACTCTAAATATTTGCTCTCACCCCAAGCATACTTGTATAAAAAGCTCTAACCCTGGAACATTGAGTACAAAATCTTGAGGCCTCATCACTTTGTCTGTCTACTCCTAATTTCATTTTAATCATAGTTTCAATTGGTAGTTCAGAATACCACAAGATTACAGGAAGAATGCTTTCTTTTTCTTTGCAAAACCCACTTACAACTGACAGTTAATACTGACAATCAAGAAATAGTCTATGAATCAGCAAAAATAGAGATTATGTCATATAAAACACATAATTTTAGTAAAAACTGTATATCAACTACAAGCACTTTATCTTCTCACCTAAAAAGGTGTTTCTGGCAAAAATTAAGTAAATGTCATCGCCTGAGGACAAGGCCTCAACTTGTGTTGTCCCACTGACTGGAACTTCTTGAAAGTTAATAAACTGACTGCCAGACCATCTGAATAAAAGGACATTTAGCCAGATATTGTCCTGGGAAATGGCTAAGAAGACAGTGCCTCCTCTGCTGAACAAGGCCATGGTCAGCACACCCTGGACAGGCAGTGTTTGATACGAGGCAAAGTTTCTTCCATTCCATCTGAAGACCTGCAGGAAATATTCAAATACAAAGCCTTTAATGACCAGGAATTCAACCCCTGTGAGAATTGAACCAACATCATAATCCCCTCTCCAGGGTCCTTCTGTTTAGTCGGGAAGATAGTGTTATAATGAGAAAAAAACAAAACTTATCCTGTGTGTGTGTGTGTGTGTGTGTGTGTGTGTGTTTGTGTATGTGTATATGTAGAATGAACAAAACAAAAGTAATTTGAGAAGCAATCAGCATAAAACATATATCAAGGTTATGGAAGTAAAAAAAATCAAAAAAAACAGGAGAGAATTGAGTTAAATATGAAAACCCTAGAATGAAATGCAGAATTCTTGATGCTGCAATATCATCACTGACAGCTCAACCAATAGATAAAAATAATCAGGCTCTTTTTCATCCTCATGGTAGCAAGCATACCAGGTTTCAGGGTAAGGAGCTGTGTACTTAACATTAAAACAAAGTCCATAATGTATCTGGTTATAAAACCTGGTCACCTTGACAGAGAGCTGATATACTTATTCAGGAAAACGTTAGAGGACATCAAGCCACAGATATATGGCTCCTTTTTGGATCTTACTATTAAGAGAAGATAATAAACATATCAATAAGTTAATGAATGCAGACTATACAGTGAGATGAGCTCTGAAGTGAAATGTTAATGATAAATAATTATACCAACACAATAGGTATGATGCATCAGTGTCCTGAGAAAGTGAGGAAATATGGTAATACAGTGGATATTAAAAACTTATAATGTATTATAAGTGTAATTGGAAATCACTGAACAGTTTTAACTTGAGGAGCAACACAAGCCAATGCTGTTAAGATAACTGCAGCTACTCAAAAGAGAACGGATCTGAGGAGGTAAGAGGATTCTAGAGGTGAGCTCAAAGTGCTCTAACGAGAGACTGAGAAATAACAGGGGCACAGCTTAGAGATGAGAAGTGGACAGACATCTGTATTCAAAATATTATCAAGACAGTTCATCAAAAACAGTTAAGGATAAATTAGCTGTAAAAGAACAGAGAGCAATAATCAAGCAGGGGACAACCACAGTTCCCTCATGAACAACTGTACTTATGGGGCTGTTGTTGTCTGAGATAAAAACAAAAACCAGTACAAGCTCCATGGAAGAAACAAGTTCAGGTTGAGAAATGTTAAATATTACACACTTAGAATATATTTAAGTGGGGTCTGGAGAGATGGCTCAGTGGTTATGGACAAAGAAAAGGCTACAGATAAAATTTGGAAGACATTGGCCTACAGTTGGTATGCAAAGTCACAGACTTGATAAAAGTGCCCAGAGCTAAGTTTGAGGAAGAAAAAGGAAACCTGAATTGTGAAACTCCAAGATTGTTCAGGCTAGAAAAGGAGAGGGAGTAGCAGTGGTGCCTCAGAAAGATGGGCAGTAGATGAGGTGAGGGAGGGGGAGGGAGGAAGGCAGAGGCAGGGGAGAAAGTGAACATGAATTGATATTATAACCAAGAGAAAAGACAATTCAAGTCTGAGGATACAATGACTGACATATACTGATGTGGAGCAGTCTCAAGGATGACACATCCCACAGATTTGGCAACCCAGGCATCACCAGTGCACATGAGAAACTGTATTAGCTACCTGTCTTGTTATGACAAAATACTCTGACAAAAGCACCAGAAGGAAGGCTTTGTTTTGGCTCACAGTTCCAGGGGTAGAATCGCTGTGGAGAACTCATGGTGGCAAGAGTTTGAGGAAGCTGGTCACAGTTTCCTCAGTCAGGAAGGAGGGAGAGATGCATGAAGGCTCATGCTCGGCTCATGTTTTTAGTCAGTCAAGGACCACAGGTGATATGAGTTGGGTCTTCCAATCTTAACTAACCTAATCCACATAATCCCTCACTGTCTCACCCAGAGGCTAACCTTATCTAATTTATTGTCAAGCTGACAATATTAACTATCACAGGACCCAAGACCAAGTAAGAGGAGACTTCTGCCAAGTAGAAGGGGATGAGATCAGGCGACTTTCTTTTTAAACTGAGCAATTCTGGAACATTTTTGCTAAGTGTATCAATCCCCAAGGGAGAGAAGCTCAGCAATGGACGCCAATAACTACAACCTCTGAAGGCAGATGGGTGGCCAGTGTGAGAGCCGGCTTCCACAGGATACTTCCTCCACTATGAGCAGAGGAAGAGAAACAAGACTGGATTTCAAGTGTTGTGAAACTTAGCAAACCTCCTTCTGGTAGTGTTCATATCAAGAGAGTCACTAGCCGAAAACAAAGAGCTAAGAAACATCTACAGAAGTCTGAGTGACAAAAATATCAAACGAGCAGCACTGAGATTAGAAATGCAGTGTGCTAGGAAAACGTGACATCTGTGATGTGAGCCTGAGAGCCCACTTAGCAATGTCATTTATGAATTTTTAGTGATAGCAACTGCCTAGTTGTGTGATTTTTCTCCATAGTGTTTTCTAATTCAATTACATTCTAATCAAATGTCCATGACACTATTCAATGGAAAAAACTCTAATATTCGTAAACCTGCTCTTCAGAAATTAACTATGACCAATCAATTATCATTCTACCCTACCATGATCAAAATATTGCTTTCTTTATACAAAGCCTAGAGACCAGATAGATTTCGATTTAAGTATTTTTCCAAAGGGGAAAAATTTTCACATTAAAAGAATCACACCTGAGTTAATTCCGAATCATTTCTTTGACTTGCAATGATTAAGTAATCTTGACCATCTGAAGTAAAATACCTGACTTGACAACTTTCTGAAACAACGATTGTCTGTACCTGCAAGGAACACAAAAGGACGGGGGTAAACATTCAAAGGACTTGCACTCTGGGACCGAGTACAGTAATAGCATGTATTAGCATCTGAACTAAGACTTGAAAAATTATTTTGGATTAGAGGTCATGCATACGTAAGCATCACTTGAAGACAAAAATGCCCTTGCACTGAGAAACCTTGATACGATGCCTATCAAATTGCAAAAAGCTTTATTATATTAATATAGAACATACAATATCTATCATATTGATTAATCTTACAAATTTGAATTGCCCTTGAGTCAAGAATCTGTGGGAAAAGTAAGGATTTGTTTTACCAGGAATAATTTAAATCCAGCTGTGAATGTGTATACACTGTTCATGGAAGGCTTTTCTCCATCTCTCACGTCATGAGTAATCACGAAGTAGGGGGAGACACCAATATTAAACGCTTCACAAGTCTTAGGATTTTCCATATTTAAATCCTGGGAAATAGTAACTAATATCAGTAATCAATGCTACATCAAAACTGTTCACATACATTTTATTTGTGTACCATAAAACAAACAAACAAAAAAAAAATGATATTTACCTCAAATGGAAGAAAAGTCCCTTGCCATCGGTAAATAGTAAATGAGGATTTTCTTAACATTATACCATATACTGAATCTTCAACAGTAAAGAAACACCAGCCAGATGCTGACTTGTCAAAGAAACTTTGAAATACGGAAAAGACAACATCCATTCCCCCTAAAACAATAAAAAAGTCATTATTTAATGGTGTATAATCCCTTCTAAATCTTATCTCTTTTAATTTATTAAACAGTGAAACTATTGAGTTTATTAGAAATAAGATCCTATGGGGTGTGTACGTGTGCATGTGTGTGTGTGTGTTTGTGTGTGTGTGTGTGTGTAGCCAAAAAGGCATTAGGAAGCTTAAAATAGTAATTAAAATTGCCAATTAAAAAATATATAAGCTATTTTGCTTCATATCGTGCAATCTTTTTCAAAGTCTATTCAAAAATAAATACTAAATACATATTTTCAAAGAGAAATACACTAAAAATGACTTTTATCAGCTTTCAAAGTTATCAAAATATAGCTAAGAAGTTTCAAAATGATAAATATGCATTATAAAAACATGCTAAATGGTACTTTCAAACTTATACCTAATAATTTAAAAGCCCGACCTCCAATGATTTCTCACTTTCCAATTTATATACTTTAAGAATGCCTATTGACATACACATACCACAAATTACCTAATAATATCTAAGTTTTATCAAATTGCTATAAAATAATATGTCCTAAAATTATGTGTATTATCAAAAAAAAAAAGAAAACCTAAAAGAGAAAATGAGAAACAATTATTTTTTAAGGCTCTATCATGCATTGTCATGGCTGTTTCCAAAAGTTATTTTTAAGCTGTAGCTAATCCTATAAACATGATTGAACAAGAAAAATAAATAAATAAATCTAGACTCCATGCAAATGATCATATTTAGATTTAGTTCAAGAAAACACGTCAGTGCTTAAAAGTAATATCCACTAGAGACTTCCTTTCCTAAAAATTCAACATTTTAAATTCTTATTTTGCCACCATTTACTTTTGTTTGTTTGGTTGGTTGATTGGTTTGTTTGGGGGTTTTTTGAGACAGGATCTTCCTACAGCCCCAGCTAGCCCAGAACTCACAATGTAGACCAGGCTGGCCTTGATCTCAAAGAAATTCTCTTGCCTCTGCTTCCTGAGTGCTGGGATTAAAGGCAAGGACCACCACGCCCGGATTTACTTTGCTACCATTAAAACAAGTTACGCAGCTTTTTCATTGAGTCCCAAATGATACTGACATACAGACAAATCTTTCACTTCAAGAAGACAGTGAATGTAGATTAAACAAAACACAAAACTACTGACATTTAAGACTCTCCAATCTCATGAGTACTTAAAAAAAAAATCACATGCAGAGGCCAAACAGGAATGAGAAAGCTACGAACAGGAACTCTCCCTCCTCCCCTCCTCCCCTGATTTTCCATATATATGGAGAAAGTATATATATAAAACTATATATACATATATATATATATAATATTTCTTAGAGAATGGGACGATCTTCCACCCAACTGTACAAGCTACCAACTCAGAATCATCCCTGGTATCTCCCTCACCTTCATATCCAATCCATCACTGATCCTAAGCTAACTTCACCTGTTACTTATTGCTCATCACCCTGCATTCTTTCTTTTCTTCTGTACCAACCAATGACATTATAAACACTGTCTTTAAAATGTAAATGCCATCATGTCACACCATCCTCATTTATGCCAACACCACTCAGAGGCTTTCCACTAAACCTAGGTTACAGGACTGACATCCAAGGAAGATTTTTCAAGTTCTTTAATGATCTGGCTTTGTCTAACTAACTGGAGTCAACATTTTCTCTTACTTCTAGGACCACTGTCCAATGAAGGTCTTCTCTTCTATGTGTGTTTACACGTCAAATCTCCTGCTTTAGCAGCCATTCATTGTCATCTCCAGCCAACTCCAATCCAGCTCTTTGCATTCAATCCCCATTCATCAATCAGCCTTAGTTCCAACACTGATTCTCCTCAGAAACTCTCACCCATGTTCTTAACACTTCCAGTTTCCTCTTTAAAATGTGTATTATAGTTCACAGTGTGAATTGTTTTATTTACTATATTTTTGGCAATCCTTAAATTCTAAGCTCCATGACATGAGCTGAATTCCAAGCCTAACACATGACAAGTATGCAATAAATATTGTGGATACTTTAACAGAATTAAATATCAGCTGTTTTTTTTTTTTGGTCTTTTTGAGACAGGGTCTCCTGACTCACTATGTAGACCAGGCTGGCCTTGAACTCACAGAGATCTGCCTGCTTCTACCTCCTGAGTGCTGGGATTAAAGGCGTGCCCAGCCTGCTCTGTTTTTACTAAATTAGTAAGATACAATTCATGGGAATAATGTAAGTTTTATGTATGCAAGAATTTTAGTTATACATCTTGTTCTTACAAGGAACTAAACATACTCATGCCAAAGGCTGTTTCCGAAATTGTCTCCCACTGCACGCTCACAGTTAAATCAATGCCGTTTGTACGGGACACATTTAGGTATATAGTCTTGTTAGCTTCTTCCGTGTCTATAGATGTAGCACTAAAAGAAAAACAATGGATTTTAGAAAGCAGAAAAAGTATATTACTGAATACACTTTTAAATTTTGTACACCTCACTGAAATCCGCACATTTTCTACATTAGAGATACTAGACTCCAGCATTTGAAAGTACTCATTTATAAAGAGGGTGTTTCTTAATACAAAAAGCAGAAATGTAACACCCCATAACTGTTACCGTAACAAATACCAAAGATCAGTAACCATACATAAAGTCACAATAAATTCTGTCATTCCTAAATTTCTTCACACATAACCCAAAGACATCTAATAGGGAAAAAGTGAACTAAAAATGAATTCTAAATAAAATTCTCAGCATATTAGTAAAATTAGATCCCTTAAAGTATTTTTAGGAAATAAAGTATTATATTTCTCGGCTCTCAGACATTTAAAAATTAGTGAGATATTAATCTCCTTCTACATCTTCTTAGTTCAAAATTGTTACCTACTTTCTTTCAGAATGTTAATTTTGTATAAATAACTGATACCTATTTTCAACAGCAGAGATGCTGAATAGTCCCAAAGGGGCCTGGTTTTGCAAAACTGTTATCAAGGTTTGAACACGCGCCCCTAGTCTAGCACCTCCAGTTGGATTAAACAAGGTGCAGACAAAATACTCATCCATTTCTGGTTCTGTGTCTAATATGGCAGATATATGCAGGGCCTGAAAACAAAATCAAAAAAATAAAGTTACCAGAATACATTGGTTTTGGAATACATATACAGAGAAATTAATTAAACATTTTGACAACATGTTTAAAAATATGACTTATTTTTCTATTTATATTTGATTCTCAAAATGTGATTACACAATTGCTTCAGGTTACTGGGGGACTTTTCAACACTGTGATCTGTGGCATTAAAATGTCTAAAAAGTAAGTAGTTAAAGGCATTTGAATATAAGACTGATTAAAGATCAGTTTTATGTGCTCATTTCTCCTTCCTTTTTTTCCTGTCCCAGCTGTGAAACTTCATTAATCTTATCCCTGTCTAAATGTTTGTCTGTGGGCATGGCAGGCAGAGCAGGTACAAACTAGAATCAATCCAAATGCTCACCAGCAAAACAAGAAACAAGCTGTGGCCTCATCAAGGAATGCAGCACAGCAATGAAGAATCAATGGAGAAAGACAGATGCAACAATGGATTTCAAGAATAATGTTGTGTGAAAGAAATCAAACACAAAATTTTAGATACTGTATGATTCTGTTTATGCAAAGCTCAAAACCCAGCCAAATGAGTCTTTGATTTTAACAATTAGAAAGCAGCTTTCTCTGGAAAGAGCAAGAGACAAAAACAGAAGCTTCTTTATAGTGGCAATTTAAAATATCTTATTCTGGGGGCTACAGAGATGTATCAGTGGTTAAGAGCACTGGCTATTCTTGCATAGTAACTGGGTTCAGTTCCCAGCATTCACATGGCAGCTAACAACCATCCATAACTCCAGTTCCAGGGGATCCCACACCCTCTTCTGACCTCTGTGGACGCTATACAACATGGGTGCACTTAGATACATACAGGCAATACATTCATACACATAAGTAAAATTAATAAAATATGTTTTTAATTAATTTGTTCTAACACTTAATTTGGCTACTGAGCATAAAAATTTGAAAATTTATTTTAAAGGGCTTAAGGAAAAGTCAATGTAAATAATAATTTAAAAACAAAAGTCTTTGAAAAGAAAAATAGCAAATTCATGAAACACTTGTTTTGAACTTTTATATCATTTCAAGATTGAAGTGTATCTTTTTTTTTTTTAATTCTCTTATTTGAGATAGGGTCTCCTCATAGTCCCTGCTGGCTTGGAACTTGTTATGTAGACTGGGCTGGCCTCAATACCGTAGACACCTGCCTGTCTCTGCCTCCCAAGTGCTGGGATCAAAGGCATGTGCCACTGCTCTTGGCTGGGGTACATCTTTAAATAAATCAAGTAAAGATTTTTTTTATTTTTTTCATATTTCATTTATTATTTTTATTTTATGTGTATCTGTGGGGACTGCCTGAGTGCAGCCACACCCTGGGCCTATGAGTTCTGGAGCACTTCCGCAGCCTGACCTAGAGTTGGCCCACCTGTCTGGTCACTTTCGATTCTAGCCAAGATGGCGCCCAGCACAGGTCAAGGGGGAGGGATGGAGAAACTCATCCCCGACATAGGCTTGGCTCCACCTGGCCCTGCCTCATTCCTGGCGTACAGAGGGAGTGGCCCCTCAGCCCATAGGTCCCCGACACCAGAAGCAACTGTCACTCACGGCTCAAACTTCCGGCAATGAGACTTTGCCTTTAAATACCTGTGCCTGCTGCAATGAAGCTTGTTCCTGCTCTGACTAGGCACCAGCTCTGTGTGTTCCTTTTGAGCTACGCACTCACCATCCTGCTCATCCCCGAGGGGTAAAACGGATCATCGGCTGGCTCCGAGGATCTCTCTTTTTCCCTCCCCGCGTGTGGGAACCCGACATGTATGTGTGTACTGCATGCTTGTAGGTAAGTGCACCTGTGTCGTGCAAATGCCCGCAAAGGACAAAAGAGGCTGTCAGATCCCCTGGAACTGGAGTTACACACAGTTGTTAGCTGCCACGTGGGTTTTGGGATTCGAACCCAGGTCTTCTGCAAGAACAACCAGTGTTCCTAACCACTGAGCCATCTCTCCAGCCACAAATAAAGGTTTCAAATGATGAAGAACATTAAAAAAAAACTGAACATGAAAAATATTCTGAAGGTTATACAAACATGAGATGGCCTGGGATGCAGGCTAGCTATAGAGTACTTGACTAGCATTCAGAAGGTCCTGGTTCAATCTCCACACCACAAACCAAGTCACTAAGAAAATTATCTTATTATTAGATGAACTGTAATATTAAATTGCTGAAAGCATATTAGAGTTATGTGGATCTTGAAGAATATATAAAGTTAATGCAATTAAGTATTTTAAAGTTAAAAATAAAATTGTGTGCCAAGAATAGAAAATTAATATATAGAAAGGGAGCTGGGAAGGTATACAGATTACATAACTATATAACTATATAATACAGATTATATTGCTAACTATTCTCAAATCAGCGTTTTTCTCTAATAAACTTCTGCTCTCCTATTAGCAGTCTGAAGCCGCAGCTACACTGTTCAGCCAGCATGTGGCAGACAGGAATGCACCACCAAGCGTGACGATTTTAGCTCATGTTCTTACAGACAACACAAAGAAAGGAATCGATTCAACGAGCTTAATTTGAAAATAGTAAAACACGCATTTTTTTTAATTCCTTGCACATTTCTCTACCATATTAATAATACATTTTTCCACTTCCCCTCTGGGTTTTAGAACATTACAGCACTTGCCACTCATCAATCAATCAATGTCTTTGCCTCTCTCACTTGAGATGAGTATTCTTTTACTTTTGAGAACCTAGTCTGTGCCTCTAAGAGAAAATTATTTTTAAATGCTAAAGATAGTCTTCTGTTCGCATTAAAGTTTATACTATACCTTGACTCGAACACCTTCCTCTAGAACAATAAAGCCTTTGGAAGGAATCAGATCCTTAGATTCTGTTGAAGAGTTGACTTCTGTCACAATGAACTGAACCGTGACCGTTCCAAACAGACCCTGTGCAGGCTCCCGAGCAACGTACAGCACTGCAACACTCTCCTGCACGTGGAGAGCAGTTGGTTCTCTTAGGAAGATGTGCCCACTATTGTTAAAGGACAGGACTCCAGGGCCATCGTCATTAGCAAGGACAGTAATCAAAGCTGTAAAATAACATTCACGTAGTAACTGAAGACAGAATGTGTTATAAATGCTAAAGAAAGTGAAGATGTTTCAACTGGGAACTAGATCAACACTCCCTAAGGTGATAGTTCTTTAAAATATCTTTCACAACATTTAACAAAATTCCATGGACACATATAATAAAAATAGAAGGTTTGTCAACCTCATGAAATATCTCTCAGAAGTCAATAGAACATACCAAATTTAAGACTGAAAGAGTAGAACCACCCCCACCCAAATCAGAAACTAGACAATGGCTCCTGGCATCGCAGGCTTTCCAGGAATGCCCTGGGCTTCTGAAAGGGAAGAGGCAGAATTGTCACTACTTTCTCTTTTGTTTTTTTTCCAGTTTTTATCATACTATTTCTTTCCTTATTGAATTTCTACAAATTTCATACAGCTTGATGATATTTAGAACCTCCTCCCCCATCTGAACCCTCTATGTCACCCCAACTGGACTTTGTGCATTCTGTCATATATGTAAAGGGCTATCAAGCCAAGTTTGTGTCCCCAAATGTCCCAAGGTATGCATCCACTGGAGCCTGGTCAACCTATCTAGCATCGCTCCCTTAAAGAAAATCAACTCTTCCTCTCCTATCAGTCATCATCACTTGCCAACAGTTCTTCTAGGTAAGGCTGGGGCTTCTTACCCATTTCCCCACTTCTATGTTGGGTTTTTGTCTGGTTTGACATTGTGTGGGTCTTATTCATCCTGTCACCCTTGTTATAAGTTCATATGGATAACTTCTCAGCCACCTGGAAAACCGTTTCCGTGTAGTAATCTACCACCTCTGTCTCTTATAGTCTTTTGGCTCCCTTTTCCGCAATGGTCCCTGTCTGGACCAGTAGTGACGCTTTTATCTTGGAGGCAATCAACAACTGTCTAATTGGACTTAAGGCCCACTCAATAAGAGGGAACATAGGCGTGGTACTGTAAACATAGATAAATATGTGTGACTGGAGAGGTCATAGATCCTAGAGAAAAACCTGATTTTGTCACACTCCTAGACCAACATAATTTCTTACTGCATTCTAAATATGTATCTTTATATTTACAGACAGTATACCTCTCACCATTCATCAAAAATGCTTTTTTTTCAACAGATGGAGACTAGTACAGAGTTCCAAAACTGGTCAAACACAGAGAATAAGTGTCTGTGAGATGCCCAGCAACACATCTACAATGGAACCTCTCTATCTAAGGTTCAGGGAACATAGCAGAACATGGGGTAGAAAGAATATTAATGCATCTTTCCACTCATACCAGTGAAGCTTCCTCATGCAAGACGTGGTGATTAACCCAGAAAGCCACAACTGGCCAAAGTGCAAAGAACAAGAAACTATAGATGTGTGTTTCTGGGTAGGACACCTATATTGTCACTGCTTCCTAAAGGTAGTACTTGTCTACTAGGAAAGTGCAAAAGAAAAGTTATTAGAACTTTGATGATTTCAAAATATAAGCCTAGAAATTATCACAAATCCAAGGCTTTCTAATTTTCATTGCTACTCTTAACATATTAGTAATAACCACACAACTAATACCATTAACAGCTTACTGATTAATCCATATTCACTCAATTCTCACCATAATCCTACGAGGTAGAGTCTTCTATGGGAACACCATATTCTAGCACCAATGACAGAAGCATAGACAGGTATCCAAAGAAGTTCAAAAGCTAGAAGGTAGTATAATTAGTGTACCAAGCCAGGAGTCAGCTTCAGGACATTTATTATTATTTTATTTATATATTTATTTGGAGGGCCACATGCCACAGCATGTGTGAAGAGGTCAGAGGACAACTTGAAGAAGTTAGTTCTCTCCCTCCACCATGTCGGTCCCAGGGATCAAACACAGGTCAACAGGTTTGGTGGCAATCACCTTTACCCATTCAGTCATCTTACTAGATGAGAACATACATTCTTAAAGACAGTTATAATAACTTTATACATTAACTATCATCGTTTAAAAAATAGGAAAGGAACCTTGTTTAAATCTGATGATTAACATGGAAATTAGTGTGAAAACATAAGAAAGGTCTACACAAAGAAAACACCAATGACAAGCATAGACAGGTATCCAAAGAAGTTCAAAAGCTAGAAGGTAGTATAATTAGTGTACCAAGCCAGGAGTCAGCTTCAGGACATTTATTATTATTTTATTTATATATTTATTTGGAGGGCCACATGCCACAGCATGTGTGAAGAGGTCAGAGGACAACTTGAAGAAGTTAGTTCTCTCCCTCCACCATGTCGGTCCCAGGGATCAAACACAGGTCAACAGGTTTGGTGGCAATCACCTTTACCCATTCAGTCATCTTACTAGATGAGAACATACATTCTTAAAGACAGTTATAATAACTTTATACATTAACTATCATCGTTTAAAAAATAGGAAAGGAACCTTGTTTAAATCTGATGATTAACATGGAAATTAGTGTGAAAACATAAGAAAGGTCTACACAAAGAAAATCATTAAGTGTGACTGTGGCAGATGCTGTCAATGCATCACCTCTCTCCCTTTGTCCCACTCTTCAGTCATCTGTAGTAGTTTGTGGTTGCCCAATGGTCTCTTTCTCTCCACCAGAGGACAGCATCGACCCATGCAAGAGTTGTCAGATCAAAAGTATTAGAGATGCTGCAAACTTACCACCCAACAGCAACCCTCAAGCCATTAGGAAAAGGACTTAATGAATGGATATGCCTCCTTCATTCTCAGGGGACAGTCCTGGGCTTTATTCAACTCAGTGTCCAAGGACTCCAGCGGGAAAGCACCTCAGCTGTCTAGTAGTGCTACTCACTACCAGACCCTCTATCAGCTTGAGATAGATATGTTAGTTTTACATTGAAAATCAGTGGCTGGGGGCTGGAGAGATGGCTCAGTGGCTAAGAACACTGACTGCTCTTGCAGAAGACCTGGGTTCAAATCCCAGCACCTACATCTCAGTTAATAACTGTCCGTAACTCCAGTTACAGGGAATCTGACAGTCTCTTCTGTTCTCTGTGGGCATTGCACAACATGGGTGCACTTACCTACATGCAGGCAATACACACACACATAAAATAAAAATAAATAAAATATTTTAAAAAAGAAAACCAATGGCCGATGGATGCCCCTTTCTTTATTAGGGTATTAGATCTTACATTTTAGGAGAAAAATAAAATTACATATTATCAATGAATAAATTATGTGTTAAATAATTAAATCCAAGTTGTGCAGTGCCCACAGAGGACAGAAGAGGATGTCAGATCCCTTGGAACTGGAGTTACAGGAACTGGACAGTTGCTAGCTGCCATATGGGTGTTGGAAACTGAACTCAGGCCCTCTGCAAGAGGAGCCAGTGACCTTTGCAAATAATTAAATGCAAAACAAAACTTCAGTTCCAGGGGAATCTGAAGCCCTCTTCTGACCTCCACAACATTGCACAACATGAGTGCACTCACATATATGCAGGCCATACACTCATACACATAAAATAAAAAAAATAATAAATTGAATGTAAAGACTAGTAATAATATGAACACCAATGTTAATTAATTTAAAATGTAAAAGAAACTCAACCACTGGCTAAAACAGGAGGTTGGAGATTCAGTTCCCACTTGGCCCTCCAAATAAAATTGGCTTTTGAATCATCTGAAAGAGCTGAAGTGACCTTTGCGGGGGCAGCTGAGGATTGAACTCGGGGCCTGAGGCAGGCGAGCCTAGGGAAAACCTTAGCAAGCTGGGACTCTATTTAGCTTGTACTGTGCATACAATTCATTTTGAACAACACACCTACCAACCTGTTAGCTACCTGGGAACCCCACCTACATTGAGCTGTGTATATACCCACTTTAAACAATGGAAATAAGTTACTTCCCTTAGTAACCTCTCAATAGTGCCCATTTCTATTCAAACACACCCTGGAACACAATCCATGAACTAATAGTGTATTAGTTACTCTTCTGTTGCTGTGATAAAACACCATGACCAAGGAAACTTGTAGAAGGAAGAGTTTATTTGGCTTATGGTTCCAGAGAGAAGAGAGTCCATTGTGGTGGGAAAGCATGGCAGCAGAAAGCAGAAAGCTGAGAGCTCACATCTCTAACAGCAACCAAGAAGCAGAGAGAGAGAGAGAGAGTAGGCAAAACTATGCTCTCAAACCCCCTATCAGTGGCATGGTTCCTCCAGCAAGGCCAGACCTCCTAGGGATTCCATGATTGTTTCACATAGAACCACCAACTGACCAAGTGGTAGTTCAACTACTAGAGCCTAGGGGGACACTTCTCATTCAAACCACCACAAAGGGCAATAGGCCAATCCAGCCCCAAACTGGTTTTGCGTGCATACACAATAAGGTGAAGCTGTGTCCCTAGTGAACTCTTAGGGAGAATCCCCCCTTTGCCATCTTATGCCTATCCATAATTAGGCACATATATGCTTAAAATCAGAGGCATTATAGAAAGGAACATGAGCAGTAGAGAAATGGCTATATGGCTTAACCTATCAATACAGAGCAGAGCACTACTCTTGCTATATCCATTAGCAACCAAGCACCTCCTTCTCTTGAACCCCATAAAATGAAATGTCAAACAGTAATCTGTACACTTGACTACCCTCACTCATGTGGCAAGCCATCAGTCTTGACAGCATATTTGTGATATGTTCTATCACTTTGCTTCTGAATAGTTTCCCTGCTACTCTGCAAATACATAAGCTTTATTTCATTATTGAATAAGGCTAAGAACCTGTAAACACTTAGCCCAGACTCTGGCCATGCATAACAAGCCTGCCAAATATGAAGCATGGACTCTCCCACTAAGGTACTCCAACTCTGCCCCTTGAGGTAAGTTTTCATGTTTATCTTTTTAAATTTCATTTTGTATTTTGGAAAGAGAATCTCATGTAGCTCAGACTGGCCTTGAAATTAGTATGTAAACTGAGGATGGCCTTGAACTCATGATCTTCTTGCCTCCACCACCCAAGTATGGGGATTATAGGTATGCATCACCACATCCAGTTATATGGTGCTGATGATGCCTCCCAGGGTTTGTGTACTCTAAGCAAACTACCAATGAGCTACATTTTCATCCAGAAGTAACTTTTAAAAAGCTCTCCCAAGACTTTGAGTCCTAAATGGGACATCTTTATCAAACCTTCCCTTTTCCCTCCCTTCCCAGGAGCACCACAGAAGAGGAGGAAGAAAAAATACAAGAAAAAAAATGTGGAGAAGTGCTGTGATATGCTGTCTTCTGGACATGTCATGGCATTCACACCCATGAACCCACACAGCTGTGGTTACCTGCACAAGACCTGCCCTAATCAAACCAGCCGAAATTCTGGCAGAGATGGAGAAGGTGTTCATCAGGCCCCACCCCTTACTGAGGAGCTACTGGAAGTTGATAGCTATTGAGGGACAGAGAATAATTATTTCTTGAGGATGTGGTCACTAGTGGGTTTCCCATGCTCCAGTGGATGGTCCTATACCCAAGCATATATGGGTAGCACTAACTGGATTTAATGGGTTATAAAAAAAATCGTGTAAAGGACATGATATTGGGAGGGGAATGTGTTGGAAAGGATCCAGGGGGAATTGGAGGTGGGAAGCAGGGTTAGATACAATCATATTTCATTGAATAAATGATGGAAATTTTCAAAGAATAAAAAATTATAAATAATAAATAGCTCTTCCAGGGACTGGAGACACGGTTCAGTGCTTAGGAGTGCGTACTGTTCTTTTCCAGAGGACTGTTCTTCCTAGCACCTAAATCATACGGTGCACAATTGCCTGTAACTCCAGTTTTAGAGGATCTAACACCCTCTTCAGGCCTCTACCAACACCAGTACACACATGTACATACTCACACACATATACATAATTGAAAATAATATAAGATTTAAAAGAAGAAAGGTCTTTCAACTCAAAGTTCAGTGCATTCATGAGGTTTTCTTTTACTGTTATACTTTTAACCTTTGACAACATCAAACTCTTCTAACTACAGAATTACAGCTCTCATAATGCCCAGGCCCTCAGTACCCCTCTACTCTATGCATAAATCCTCTGGCACTGAAAGGACCATCTTTGTCATTCCTTCCATTGCCAAGCAGGGAACCACAGCAGAGCTCAAACTCTGGGGGAAAGACATTCATAAACTGAATAAAACTGTAACAATTGAGGAAACAATTTAGTATTACCTTTAGTAACAACCTACTCTGATTTCATTGTTTACATGTACAAACACACAGGCTAGAGTCACTTCCAGTGACATGAGAACTAAATACTTAACCTCAAATATCTGTGCTTCTGAGTACAGAAACCAAGGCGTATCCTCCAGCCCCACACTACAGAAGCCAGCAGAGGGGAGGGGACTTGTAAAGGAACGAACAATTACCAATTGTACTTTTTCCCAGCTCTAGTCCAGGAGAAGGGTTTGTTAATATCAACTGAAAACTCTCATCACCTTCTGGAATGTCATCATCAAGAATCACGATATCCACGTTTTTATACCTTTCTCCATCGGCAAAATGAAGAATCTGGTCAAAAAGGGAAAAGAAAAAAAAAAAAAAAACACTGCATTTTAATACACTCTGGGTTTTTATAAAATGTTTGGAAAGCAATGCAGTATAGCTATGAATATGAAGAATGATCTATTTTAGGAGATCGAGAGGTGGCTCGGTGGTTGAAAGCACTTCCAGAGGACCCATGTTCAGTTCTTAGCACCTATGTCAGGCAGTTCATACAACTGCCTGTAACTCCAGCTCCAGGGGATCTGACTCCTTCTTCAGGCCTCCATGGGCACCTGCACGAATCTGGCATACTCACAGGGAGACACACACACACATCACATATACAAAAAATAAATCATTTTTTTAAAAGAATCAGTTGTTTTACAAGGAAATGTTCCTTATCTTTCTAAGGTCTCTTTTAATTTAAATTAACAATATTTCAAGTAAAAAGTAAAAGTTAAGGAGGAGAAGAAAGCAAATATTTAGTTAAGGAACAAAATGCTCAAATGCTTAAAGACAGGTTTTTTTTTTTTTAAGTATTTTAAAGGTTTAAAGTGTTTTAG